CATAGCGGATTTTCTCCTGCAGTTTCTGTGTCGGTGTTGGCCGATCCACCTGCGGCTGCCTGCATGCCACACTGCCAGCTCAGGCCTCCGACCGCAGCCGATCCCGGTGGAAGTCGGTTCACATCCTGGCTCTCCCGCTTTCTCATCTGCGCTCAAAGCCTTTGCCTGTAAAAGGCCCTTGATAAGCGCTCTTGACCCCTGCGTTTCTCGGGCAGCGTTATTTGGATAGTGCTAAATCTTCAACGTTCTTCTTCTTCTTTCTGTCATAAATCAAAGCCACCTGACACTTAGTTCCTGACTTTTCAAACGAACAGGTCTCCTTTTCTTTCTTTAGCCAGGTCAGAATCAATGCCGATGGGCTAATCTCGGGAGCGTGTTTTTCTTGGTCTGACGCCTGGAGAAAGCAGAGTGGGTATCTCTAAGGCGACTAGGGGAGACTGTCGCCAGAAAAGGAGCCGGCTTCGGTGTGAAAAGAATCACTCTTTTGTGTCCCCCGCAGTCAGAGAAGCATAGGCGTTGTCAAGAGTTAGCGGCTCTGGGGTGTTGCCGGTGTTGGGGGGCGAGGTATGTGGGTGCAGCAGCCTTTCCTTCCTGCTGGACTGCGTCCCCGTTCACGACGGACCCTACCCCACAAACGAAGGCGGCGGGGGTTGGGGGGTGCTTCTCAGAGAGGTGGCCCGCCACTGAGTAAAGCTCTCGCGAAGGCGGAGGAAAATGTGGGCGGTGGGATGATTTGGGACGTGGAGAAAGAAATAAACGAAGAGCACGAGACAGTCCGTGGAGCATTCCAGGCCCGTTCCTTTTGGGAGTCGTTATTAATCCATCGTTATGGGGGGTCTTGGCCCTCGCCTCCACCACCCAAGGGAAGACTAACTGTCTTCCTTGCCTTCGAGATGGACAAATGGCCAGTCTGAGGCTCAGTTCTCTCCCCCAAGGCTGTCGTAAGGCCGACAACTGAACCGAGCCCAAGAAGCAGCAGCAACGAAGCCAACGGATGCATGCTCCCTCCCCCTCGTTTTTTGTTTGGTGGGGATTTTATTTCCACCGTCTCTATTGCTACCATATCTGCTAATTTAAGCATTTGCGTAACGGAAGTATTTAGTAAGTACGACGGAGGATGCCATCTTTGACTCGACCTGATAAACTCATTTCTTTGCCAAGTTATTTTTTCAGCCTCTGCTTAACCATAACCACAGTTTCCCTGTTCATATTTTTTATGGATCCCAAGAGATGAAGGCTACATTTCAAATGCCGAAGGTAAATCACTTCTTGAATTACGTCGGGACGATGACCCTGGGCAGTAATTCAAACCCTGGCTGAAATGCGTGTGGTTCTTTCACGTGTTCAAAGCGAAAGACCACCTTACCCTAGCACAGAGTTCTGCAAACATCCTCCTCAACTTAGCCTCTAAGACATAAATCCCTAGGGATAGGAATACGATAGAAAATTCTCTTCCTTATGGTTCAAAAACTGAGATAAAGGGTCATTGTTATAACAAATGGAGATGATAGAGTATAGCTTTCTTTTTAAAAATTGAACCTTGAACCCTGTAATATATGTGTCCACACGCATTTTCAGACAATAGTTACCTACATTCACTTTTTTTTTTTTCGTTAGTCACTGCTTCTTGACGAGCGATTGCTGACTGTCACTGCCAGCTCCCTGCAGCAAGACCTGACGCCTCGTCAAGGGAAAGACAATGTCAACAGGGCTCCCAGCCCGGCTCTCTCAAATCCAGGTTCACGAACGTCAAAGGAACAGCATTTCTTTGCTCTAGAGCACAGGCCCCGTGTGCTGTACTGATCCAGAAAAGACCATCACACATATGCACGTGTGTTGGGAGATGGGGAAAACGTGCCACTGGTCGAGAAGCCTAGAGAGCAGACAGACACCTCAGCCACATCCCCAGATTATGTCAAAGCCTCTTCTGATCAGCAGTGAAGCTAAGCCGGCCATGCAGAAAAGGTTGGTTTCTTCTCTCTTCTCTCCCTCCTTTTGAATGTGCATTTCCCGTGGCCGCCCTTGCCTGCCTGAGCTGGGGAGGCGCAGAACTCAGAACTGAGTGCACGGAATGCCTGGTCCCCTTCTGTGACATCAGCGGAAGGGGACATAAGCTCAAACGGGAGTTGGCGGCGCCACGCCAGACCAAGGCTGGGGCTGACTCAGTGGATTCTGCCACTTTGGCCCAATCCAGAGGCAGGCCCTCTAGTGCTGATGGAGTGTGACCTGCCAGCCTGCATGTCACGCATCGTGTGGCAGAGCGACGGGTCCCATGTGGCATTTCCACCGAGCTGACAGGCAGAGTATGTGACTTAGTCCAGTCCACCCCGCTCCCTGGGGAGAGGTGGTGTATGACACTCTGACCTCAATTTAAAGATAGGACAAAGGACACAGCCCCTGAGTTGGCCCTGGCTAAATATTATACATCACACGTAGTGACAGCTGCTCCTCCTGGAAACCCAATTTAGTCATTTGGCTACAAAACAGCTTAATCACAGGAGAGAATGGATAGAAACGCATTACTTCTACTGTTTTCTTCTACGTGCGTTTCATTAGTCTACTTCTCAAGAGAACTCCAAAATATCCTTAAATCTCAGAAAATTATGAACTGTATTTTAACGTAAAAAAGCAAAACCCCAAAAGCCCCAAACAAAAATACATGCACACACTGTAATTCACAAATCCGATTCAGAACGTTTGAAGTTCAAGAAAGAGCGAAGTGTTTGACAACGAACTGAGATTTTTGAGTTCCCGCTTTCCCAACAGGCTTAGTTTCAAATGAAACCAAATAGTCAGGATGCCTAATGCACATTCAATTCTAATTTTCATTTCTCTTTCATTTAGACCATCGTCTTTCTGAGTGTGCAATAAAGACATACATCTTCATTTGTTGTGTTCATTATTGGGTTTTTTTTTTTTTTTTGTAATTCCTGCATGATAGTCCTTCAATGATAGTCCTTCATCTTGCTGGGTGTTCTAGTATTTAAAAATGTTTCATCACCTTAGGGAGGAAGGAGGGGCAATTTTCTAAGCCTCACCTGTTAATTGCATCATTCTGCTCCCCTTTAAGCTCTGGATCCCGTCACCTCGTAAGCGAGGGGGATTCATTTTCTTAGTCTCCACAAATCGCATTCTAAATTACTTTAGTGCCCAATAAGCTATAGATGTTCCTAAAACAAAGGATTAGGAAGCAAAGCACACTATTGTTTTATTTCCTAATTTAGCACAGGAACTGTGCCACTGTAATCAGGAACAGCTGCCCAGAAGTATTTACGTTAAGCCATCCAACAATCTGGTTTGGCAACTGGAGCGGAGAGGAGAGAACGTGACTCCAAGCCGGCTGTTCGTTAAGGGCTCCAGGTGCTGGCATCCGCGCCCCAAGGCATCCAGGTTCCCTCCAAATTTAGGACAAGGGACTCTGGGGTTCGGGAAGTCACTGACTTCCTCGTCTTCGACTCCGGAGCTTCCTACCGCCAGTGGCGCCTGCATCTAACTAACACTGACGGGGGACAGAAAGGAACGTGTCAACAGAGAAAAGGGCGTTTCCTTGAACTGTCTGGATCGGTTCAATTAAAACTCGTCTCCATATCTTGTTTAAGGCCCCGGACACAGTGGGCTGGTGGGGATGTCAGTCTTCAAGCCCAGTTTCAGAGCGGCTCCTGAGGTTTGGTAGAAAATGCCTATGTCCTCCGCTCGGGGTCTGGGTCCTCCACCCGGGGTCTGTGTCTTTGCTTCTGGTTTTCTCCTCGGCGGGGGTCTTCCCTTACTACCCTCAGGGTCCTTTACTCTCCCATCGATCGATCGGAGTTTGCTCATCCTCCGGGTCTAGAGCTCCAGAGTGACAGGTGTGTTCCTCCGCTGGGGAGACGCGCTGTAAATTCATTCATTTCCGACGGCGGAAGTCCAAGAAGTGCTCTCAGCTCACTAGAGGACAAGCGTGGGTTCTCATTGGAGCCGAAGCCGAAGGTCCAGAGGTCTGGGGGCTGGGAAGTGAGCCCTGAGAGCCTGAGCAGGGCAGGGTTCCCACCACCGCCCCGACCCACAGGCCTCCCCGTCGCCACAAAGAGGCAGATAAACATTTAGAACAGACGCGGGAGAGCTGTACTTCTTTCCCTTAGTTACGGAAGGAAAAGGCGGTGGAAGACGAGGTACCTGGATCTGCGCTAGAACGAGGCAGCGTGTGGGTTTGGGTCCTTGCCCGTCAGCTGCCACGCGGTGAGCACAGCGGCCGGCCATGCAGGAGGCCTGAGGACGAGGAACCTGGACGGCGACGGGAGGACCGGGGCAGGAGGCCCCCCGGGAAGACTCTGCTGGAACACCGACTGCTTCGCCCCACTGGGGATGCGGCTGAGAGGTTCAAATAAATGTTCTCAGGCTTACCACCCAGATGCATCTTTTTATGTTTTCATGGCAATCAAGACGCTTATGCCAACTTCATACAAACGAAATAGGAATAAAAGCAAGACCGTGGCCTGCCTCGAGTGACTTTTACATGCTGCCCGGTGGGCTTGATCTGTGAGTGAACAAACCAGGAGGTGGGTGCCCCCCTGCCCTTCCCAAGACGGTGTCTCACGCGACATAAAACTCCTTCACCTTTTCTGCCAGAACGACTCGTACTGATGTTTCAGAATCGGTGAAACATAATGTTTTTAATTTCACACCTCACAGAGCACAGTTGAATGCTTCATAACAATGTAAACAAAAGTTAGGCCAAGCACTGCAGACAATTCGAGAGCCAAAAAAAAAAAAAAAAAAAACAAAAAAAAAAAAAAAAAAAAAAAAAAAAAAACAGCTTTCCCCGCAGGAGACACTCAGGTCTGCGAGGGGATATGTAACTAACAAACTGGTCATCGGCTAAGGCCACAGAAACGGGTTCCCGGTGTTTCGGCTGCTGACACCAGCCTCTTCTGATGGATGTGTCAACACTGGGCGCTACGAGCCGCATCCCTTTCCCAGGGTCCGTCAGGGGACGCGACGCGTTTTCTCCCCGACGTCGGGCCCTATTCCTGCCTCGGTTCCCTTTTGGTGGTGTCATAAGCACGGACCATTTCCTCCTGAGTGACAGCTCCATGCTCTTCTTGAGAGAAGGCGTACCCGTCTGAAAGGAAGCAGGCAGGACGAGGGGTTAAGAGGGGGACCGGGGGTGAAGGGTGGGGGGCGCATGAGGTTTGGATGAAGCTGCTTTGGGGGAGACCGTGGCTGCGTTCCCACGTGCTGGCCTCATCAGCTTTGGTCTGTGGGGGCCTGGGGCAGGTACGGGTGGAGCCGGGGGTTCTGGCTGCTGATGCCAGTCGGTGCCGGAGTGGGGAGGGCCCTGAGGGGTGAGCATCCGCCCATTTTGGGGGGCTGCAGCTGGGCTCAGCCCGAGAAGTGTAAACGGCGGGCCACTGGTCCACGTCTGCGCCTTCCCACTGCCAAGCAGGAGGAAAGGCAGGTGGTTCTGCCGCGGGAGTGTCCCAGTGTGCTCCAGGCTGCAGGCTGGCTGGCTGCTTTATGAAGCCGTAGACATGCCGGCTGGAAGACACGCACGGCGCCGGCCGTGAAGGCGGGCGAGGGGCGTGTGGTGAGCGGAGTGTTCCTGTGTTTAAACCGGGCTGATTTGGACTCGTAATAAGACAGTATGGCGGTTTCTGTCTGTGTGAATGAAGAAAAAGATCATAATATAACATCAAGAGGAAGTCAGTGATCAGCCTCATGGCCACAGGAAGGCTGGTTCTTACAACTGGGTCCAATAATAATAACAGCAACAATAATAGCAGCAGTTAACAATTATTAAGTGCTGTGTGTATCACACATTGTCCTATGTGCTGTGCACAAATAGCTTGTTTGTTCCTCCCGACAGCCCTATGACACATGCGACAGTAATCTGCCCATGTCACAGGTGGGGAAAGGCACGGCTTGCCCGAGGTCTCAGACCTAGTGAGTGGTGCAGCTGGGAGCCAGGCCCAGGCTCTCCTGCGTCTCCCATTTTGAAAGAGGCTTAGTTAACCCTGGTGACCCGAAGTGGGGCTTTCCTTCCTCACTGGCCCTTGACACAGAGGGGACGTTGACAAGACTCTTTCTCTGTTGGCTAACCCTTCTGGGTCGGGGGGAATGGAAAAGTCCCACAGCTGGATGAGACATTCTGACCAAAGACAACACGATGTAAAGCCTGGCAGCGGTGACCCAAATTGCATTTACGGCTCACCAACAGAGCTGTCAGTTCATTGTCATAGTCTTTAAAGGAGAAAAAGAAATCGTAAATCGTGCCCATGGATCGTTAATGATTTTACTCAGACGTTTGGCTTCAAATGGAGTTCCTGGAGCTTAAAGACGTGCAGTAGCGGTGTACAGCGTCTTCGTGGGACGGAGGAGAGAGAGAGACTTCAAATGATGCTCAGGGAGACTCCTGCTCGGAGGTGCCCGTGAATGCAGAGCTTTGTCGCCGGGGCTGGCTTCCCAGTTCTTCTGGAGAGCATGCCTTTCAGAAAACCCGTGGGCACTGGAGGGCCACCGTGGGAGGCTGGGCCGGCCGCGGAGGTGGCCTGGGGGCCGACTGAGGACACGGCTGAGGGCAGCAGGGAGCGGGCGGCAGAGAGGGCGGGACAAGCGAGCACGCTCTGCCCAGAACAGTCTCACACAGGGGACTCTTGTCTACTTGCTCCAACCCCGAGAAAACCAAACCCACAAACCCCCAAGTCCCGCCCTGTGTGGCGGCCGCAGGAAGTGGCCCCAGGCCAGTGTGTGCCCATCTAGCCGGCTGCAGAGCAGATGGGTCCCGAGCAGGTGGGCAGGAGCACCTGGAGAGGGGGCCCACTGGCCTGTTCCAGTGCTGGCCCAGTGCCCTTGAATTTCCTCGAGAAGAGGCTGAGCTTTGAGTCTGTGGGGGATCAAAGGGGAAACACCTCCCGTCAACCCTGTGCCCCTCAGAGCTTGTAGGTTTTCCAGGACTTACAAGCTGGGTCAGAGATAACTGGGGCCGAGGCGACCTTGGTTGGCTTCTGGGGGGTGGCCCCCCTCCTTCCCTCCCTGGGGGTACTGGGCCATCAGCCTGTCCCAGCAGAATTCTCTTCCGTGCAGCGTCTTCACTGCAGTCCTAGAAGCAGCGCCTGTCCTTGGGACGTTTCAAAGCAAAGCCCAGCAAAGAACTCTGCTCCTCCAGGAGCGAGGCTGAGTTCTGCTCTCGCCTCGGACAGTTTCCATTCTCCAGGGTCGCTGAACGGGAGCGTTTCTGGTACACAGCTGACGTTTTCTTCGCATCGGATGCTTCTTCGCAGAAAGGACTCTGGTCCCAAGTAATGGGCACACCGTGTAAGTGACCTTCATGAGCCCTCGGGTGGCCGATGGCTACTGAGCTCTCCACCTGACGATGGTGCTCCCCACCTGCTCTCTTTCGTCTTGGCCCCGGGGCACAGGGCCTGAGGTGCTAGGGGCGACAAGGGCCGGTTCTGAGCCTCGCTTGGCGGTAACTCAGCCACGGGACGCGGGCTCTTTACGTTCTCTGGGTATTCGCGGTCTACATTTTTGTAAAACAAATGCCAGGACCAGGTGAGGTCTCGGTTCTCACAGCTCTGGTCCTCCATACAGGCACCGGGGCTTGTCCTGGACAACTGTGCCCCGGCCACAGAGCCCTGTCCTTCGTCTGGGGCTGACTGACACACGGCACCAACGGGGGACACCTCTACCTCCATGCCAGAAAAGAAAGGAGCCTGTCTCAACCACAGTCCACCTGGAATGATTGCTGCCTATGCTTTTGATTGTTTTTTTTTGGGCGGGGGAGGAGTGGAGGAGGTTCGGATGGGAAGAAATAAAAGGAACTTGTTGACACATGAACATTGTTTGGAGTGTCCTCTTGGGAAAGGCGTCTAAGCCTTTTGGAATTGTCTCCTCACAACCTGTTCCAATGCAAGGAGCAGAGTCTGGCCTTTTCTTTGTTCTGCGTTTCATTCACATCTCACCTGTGCCTACTGGGGAGCCACCTGCAGGGGTTTCTTGTGCTCGTAGCTGGTATGGCGCCCCGGCTGGTCCCTGACTCCTGGGCGCGAGGGCACTGGGGGCGGGGGTGATTACTCAGCCACTCGGTCGGTCTCCAGCAGAAGAGGCGATGAGAGAAGCTCCTGCTCCAACGGCAAATCTCCCCGTGCAAGGCGCACCGAGGTCGCCGCCAACGGCTTCTCTGGCAGGTCTCACAGGCTGTTTCTGCCATCACGTTTCCAAAAGGTTGTGCACTTGGAACCGGACTTTCTTGACCTCCACTGAGACTTAGCTAGGGTTAACCCGGGGGCGGAGGCATCCCCCCAGCTCAGATCACGCATTTGCCTTTTAGAAACTGGGTCTGGTGGGAATTAGAGCCATAACAAGAAGGACCAGAACCTTCAGCGCCCCCAGCCTGCACCCCTCAGCCCGACAAAGATGCACCACCAGCTTCGGCCGGATGAACATTTAACTGCCATTGGCATCCAACGGGGAGCTCAGAGGAAGCCTCCAGCTCTTAGCATTCCCCACGTTCATGCATCTTTCTGGAAGTCCTGACAGCCAGAAGCGCTGCTGGCGGCCTGAAGAAAGCTCTCTGTGCGTGGGCCGGCTGGCCTCTTAATCCTCAGCCACAGCCGGAGTCGGGGACAGAACAGGGCAGGTGGAAGGAGAGGGAAGTGTAGGTGAGTTCTCAGTTGTTTCGACTTCTCCTGGTTGAACATTTGGTAAAGTCTATAGAATCGTTGTGGTTTTTTTTTTTTTTTGAATAAAACTCCCCTTGAGTAGCATTCTTTTGAATCTGAGCTCTGATAACATCATCTTAATGAAAGTAGCAGATTCCTGCCTGGAAAAATATTCCTAACAGCAGCAGAAATGGGGAAGGCTGTGGATGGATGATAAGGGCACTAGACCGTGTAGGAACTGCTGATCTCGCTGCAAACACTGTCGGTGGCCCACGAGGAACTAGAAGTGCCCATGAGATTAGAGTTTTCGTCCAGTTTCCTGGGAAGACTGAGGCCCCAGACAGTGGAAGGACAGACCCAGCAGAGACAGGCAGGGGCCGAGACAAGCCATGCAGACCTGCTCGCAGGCCAGGAGCGTGTCTAACTGCCTGAGGGCCTTCTCTAATTGTCTGTCGATGACAGAAACATTCGACCAGGTTCTTACTACTCATTGCTGAGCATTTGTGAAACGTGGTGTGATTTCAGAAGCTTTTTAAAAATTTCTTGTACTTACTTGTTCAATGGAATGCTTTTTTTGTCCTTCAAAACACTGAGACTTAAGTAAAATGTTTAGTAGTTGTTTCAAGACATCCGATGACTCTCTCACAAAAGTTCTCACTTGGTCTTGATCTAGGCAGTTGACTCTTGAACAACATGGGTTTGAACCGTGCAGGTGCACTGACGTGCGAATTTTTTCAATAAATAGCATACATGTATTTTCTCTTTCTTTTTTTATGGTTTCGTTAATAACATTTTCTTTTCTCCAGCTTGTTTTATTGTAAGAATACAGTACCTAATACGTATGACATACACGACATGTGTTGATTGGCTGTGTTATCGGTAAGGCTTCTGGTCAACAGTAGGCTATTAGAAGGTAAGTTTTGGGGAAGTCAAAGTTACATGCGAACTTTCAACTGCACGAGGGGTCGGTGCCCTCAGCCCCCACACCGTTCAGGGGTCAACGGTACATGTGCTGTACGCATTCTTCCTGTGGTTACGTGGAAGCATGGGAAGAGCAGCATGGGAGGAGCGGCATGGGGAACGGTTTGCATTTCTCTGTGTCTGGTATAGAGGGGGTGCTTTACACACATCGTCGTAAAGCCTCACGAAGACCGAGTAAGATTATGTCACAATTCTACTTTTTTTCAGAGGAGAAGTTGGAAGTTTAGAGAGAGATGTTAACTTTCCCAAAGTTACTCAGCTAGTGGCAGAAAACCATTTACTGGGCTCTGTTTGGCCAGGCACCTGATATATACAGCCTCGTTTAATGCTCCCAGTAACCCCAGGTAGGTTCTCATAGCACCTCCATTTTACAGATGGAGAACCAGAGAGTTCAACTTGCCTAAGACCCCAAAAAAGTGGCTCAGCCAGGACAGGGCCCCGGGCGGCTCAGCTCTGGTGGCGGGGTCTCGCTGCTTCACCCTTCGGACTTCCCCATCAAGCCTTCTGACGTGACCTGTCTCTCGGATGAGAGGCACCAGGGCCGTGACCCGGATGTCTGGGCCACGCTGGCCCACTCACCGTACAGACTCGAGCCTCTGCCAGGTGCTCCTGGGGCTGACGCCACCTACCTCCTGGGGCCGTACGGGACATGTTACGGGACATGGGCATGTGAGGGCTCAGTCCCCTTTCTCCCACGTTGATGCTCCACGTGGGGCAGGGAGGGGAGGGAGGGGACAACTGAAAGGCGGCGATGTTCACCCTTTCCTCTCTCCACTGAGAAAGGCTGGGAAGATCTGCTGACAGGCGGGGCTCAGCTGAACTGGACATAGATGCTCGATACCTGTATTATGGATACAACGGTCCTCCACTTTTCCTAAGCCGTTCCTGGCCACCAGTCGTTTCGTTCTCAACCCCTCGGGGAGAGGAAGGAGGGCAGGAAGTGGGGCGTGGGTTGAAGAGGTGGTCTGTGCATGTGCAAAAGGGGGCGCGTGGGCTGGAGAGACAGGCGGGGTTCACAGGAGCAGAAGCGGGGCCAACAGGGAGTCAAGTGGCTGGGCTGATAAAATGAACCTGCAACCTCCCCCCCACCTCCGTCACCTCGTCCGCCTCTCCTGGCCCCTGTTGTTGTTTTAATTAACATGCTAATATGAAATAAAACACAGCATACTGCTGTCCTTGGGGGAAGCAATTTAAAAGTAACATCACTTCAACGTTAGGAAAAAAAATGCTACTGAGAGGCTGACGGAAGGATCTGAACCACAGCAGGATTTGGAGTGTTAAGGGTTTTGTCATTCAGGCATGTGACTGGGTCCCAGGGAATATTCCATCGTACTCGCCTCGGGCCAGACACTTGCTTCCTCTTCTGCATGTGGCCTCCAGCTTGGCAGCTGTCCCCTCCCCAGTTGACCCTGCCCAGGCTTTAATTCCAACCCCCTCCCCCACCCTCCCCGCCTGGTCGGGCGTCGTAGCTGGCCTGGATAGGCTGGCGGTGACACTTACGTGGGACAGTCTCCGGGAAGGACCCTCCTCGAAAGAGAGTGGGGGGTGTCTTCCTGCTCAGCCTCTTCAACAGGCGGTCCCTCTCGTTCATCCTACAGGCAAAGCAAACACTGTCAGTCTCTCGTTCACGCAGACCCATCTCAAAGGTGCGCGCTGGATGACTTCAGGTTGTAAAATGAAACAGGGAAAAAAGCTTCCCAGGTCAGGAAGAGCGCCCCGTTTCCGGGCTGCCCCCCTGCTCACAGTAGATGCTATCTCGCGCTTGGAGCTTGGCCCCTCTTCTAAAAGGCGCCCTGTTTCCCATCAGGCCTGGCTTGTACGTGATGCCCTTGAACTCCGCCTTTCCCTCCTGGAAGCTCACTACAAGTGCCCTTTGTACCCGGCGGGCCCCTGCTTCCCGGACGCTTTGGAAGAAGTGACTTGTTTCTGTGCGAAATATCTGAACAGCCTCCCCCCACCTGGAGCTGCTGTTTCTCAACCAGTGAACGGTGGGTACCGGCTGCCTCCGGACCCCGCCCGCTTTTTCTGCAGCCCCCCGCCCTCTGTGCTTATTATGAACCACAGTGACAATTGAGGTGATTTTCTTGAACACACAGGATCCGGAGCCGTCCCGCCTTTCCCGCCCCGCCCCGCCCGGGCAGGCCGAAGTGCTTAGCTGGCTCACCCTCAGGATGTCACTTGGCTTGCCCCAAAGCAGACATCGAGTGTAGGGGGGTGTGCCAGCGCCCTCTGTTACGGGTTGCGTGTATCCCCCCAAATTTGCATCTTGAAGTCTGAACCCCCAATACCTCAGAATGTGAGTACATTTGGAGATTGGGGTAATTACATTAAAACGAGGACTTTACTGCGACTGGTGTCCCCATGAGGAGACGGACACGCGCCGAGGGAGGACTATGTGAGGACAAAGGGAGAAGACGGCGTCTACGAACTGAGGGGTCAGATGGGCCCCAGGAGGAGCCGACCCCGCCGACACCTTGATCTTGGACTTCCAGCCCCTGGAACTGTGACACGATAACTTTGTTTATAAGCGTCCCGCCCCAGTCTCTGCTATTTTGCTGTGGCAGCAAATACACCCCGATCCGCCGTTGGTGGGAACTTGAGAGTTGTTTTAAGAAGCTGCAGTTGCCTGTGACCCGAAGCTCCTCTCCCGGAAGTCTCAAGCCCGAGGACGTCTCCCGACCAGAGTCCACTTCACCCACCTCCCCAGGGTCATTTGAAGGAGGGGCAGGGCACAGGTTTTCCCAGTAGTTCAATGAGCCACGGTTCACCGTGGACTGGGGTGTACAGGGGAGAGTGTTTTCTGACTCTGGGTGGAAAGAATAACGTTTAATTCATCACCAATTAGGAGCGAGCCTCAGCTGGCCAAGCCGGGCAGACGTCTCACGCTGGGGAGGAAGAACCCTTTCTCCCCCTTCACACCAATGTTCCCTTCCCGCTCCCCCCTTTTTCTCCCGGGGCCCAAATTAATCTCCCTGGGCCCTGCTGAGCAGCTGCTCTGGGCTGCGGGCTGAGCAGGTGAACGAGGAGGGGGCAGCCGGTGAGTGCCTGTCCCTCCGTGTGGCCGCTGTCCCCTCACTGTCTGTAGCTCCCTGTGCGGGCTTGGGGACGTGGGGAGTGTAACGGGGGGCCACCCTTCCTGTCTGACCCGGCTCAGCTGTGACTCCGGCCAGGAAGGCGCCAGTGTGGCGAAGGGCTCGCCGAGGGCTGGGCTACAGCCTGTCCGACCTGTGTGGCTGAAGAGGGCACCCTCTCCCCTGGTACCCAGGGGATGGACACAGGGCTACGCTGCCACCAGGCCCCTCCCCTGCCCTGGCCCTTCCTGGTCCAGCCAACACTTCAGGCCCACCGGCTCCTCCTAGTGGCGGGGCTTATGAGAACTTCACCCAGCCACGCGGGCGGGAGGGGCCTTTGCGATTCCACGTCTTGGTCTCTCACTCGGCAGGTGAGGAGACTCAGCTGTGACAAGTAAAAAAGGTCACTGGGCACTTTGCTGGCAGCCTCCTGACCCTGCTTCTGTGCTAGGCAGATGACCCCAATTCCCTCATGGAATGGCAGACGCTTTACTCTTTCTTTTTTTGGAATAAAATATTCCAAACACATAGTAACAGTCAGAAACCAGGACAGCAAGAGCACACTCACCCACTCAGCTTTAGCAAATGGTAGCACCACCCTTTGACCGCATGCTTCAGAGGGACCCCCTCCGTCCTGCAGCCTCTCCTCCCACCTGGTGAGGGGTCCATGGGGCTAAGGAGACAGATCCACCCAGAGCCCACACTGGTCTCCCACTCTGGGTATCTGAGACCCTAGAAGTCCCTGCTCAGTGACCCCCAAGTGGGCATCCAGGGCTAACCTCACTTCCCTGCTAGCTAGCTCCATCCCCCTAAAAGCAGGCCATACAGCCAGCGTCCGCACTCCGAGGCCTGTGGGAGTGGCTGAGGGGTGATTTTCTGCATGGGATGTGTGGACGTGGTGTCCGCACACTTGTGCGCACATCCCCTCCAAGTGCAGGACAGAGCTGGAGTTGGGAAGGGAGGGTGGGGTGTGTGAGACACAGTCGACCCTTCCCTGGGCTACCACTTCCTGGCTTGGACCGCCAAAGGATCTGGGAACCACAAAGCACCGCTGTCTTCATGCAGGCGTATTCATCAAGGTCAGGGCTATCTGTTAGCCTGATGCATAACTTCCACGTTCTTAGACGTGGTACGTGGTTTCCCTATGTACTTGTGCGCCAAGTCCTGCAAATGTCAGGAGTGGGCCTGGCTGTGAGAACTACTCCGGTTTTCAACAAAACAATAGAAAGTCTCAAATATAAAGTCCCGAAAATCCTCTGATTCCATTCTTCCCCTTCCCTCATAACAAAGTTAGAAATTATCTTTTGTTTGTATTTCATACTTTTGTTCTAGATATGTGCATTCACTTGAATATATAATTATGTTTTAAAATATGTCTAAATGGTATCATTTGTTTTATGCTTCCGGTTCATCATATATTTTTTTTCGCTCCTTCTTTTCTCCTTTCTTATTTTCATTGTATTGTCTACCCCTGTAGAGAATGAGTTAATCTGTTTTCTCTCTAGCTGCTTTCCTAATTCTCTTTGTCTTTGGTGTTCTGCGGTTTCACTACCACACTCAGGATGACTAGGTACAGATTTGTTTTTATACTCTGCTCATTAGTCATTACAGAAATGCAGATCAAAGAGATAGCATTTAACATCCACTAGGATGGCTATAATAAACAAAAAACCGAAAAAAAAAAAACCCAGAAAACAAATGTTGGAGAGGACGTGGGGAAACTGGAACCCTAACACACTACCGGTCGGACTGTAAAATGGTGTAGCTTCTGCTCTTCATTAAGTTAAACATGGAATTACTGTATCAGCCAGAAATTCCACTCCTAGAAATACATTCAAAATAATTGAAAACAGACTCAAACAAATACTCGTACACGAATATCTATAGCAGCATTATTCACAGTAGCCAAAAGATGGAAACAATCCAGGTGTCTATCAACTGGTGAATGGATAAACAAAATGTTGTATGTCTACCCACTGGAACATCATGCGGCCATAAAAAGGAATGAGATACCGATATATGTCGCACATGGGTAAACCTTGACAACATTATGGTGACAGAAGCCAAACCAAAACGCCACGTGTCGCGTGATTCCATTTACATGAAATGTCCAGAATAGAGGCAGGAAGAAGAGTAATGGCGGCCAGGGACAGCAGGGCAGGGAGCCGGGGGAAGAGAGTGGCCAGTGGCTGCGTGAAGCACAGGATGCTTCCTCTTGGGGAGAGGGACACGTTTGGCAGTGGTGACGGTTCCACAACACGGTGAATGTTCTAAACGCCACTGAACAATTACACTTTAAAAGGGTAAATTTTCTGTTATGTACATTTTTCTACAGTTTAAAAAGTTCAATTACAAGACAAAGAGGAGGGAAAATGGGTCCTGAATTAAGGCTCATTCCCTCCCATCACGGGAGCTGCTGGTTTATTTCTCCGATGGTGGGGGGATGTTGGAGTTAACGTGCTTTCTTTGATTTTGTTTTAAATCCCTGTTTAAGTAGGGTGTGTCGACTGCGATCTATGTATGAAAGGCGCATTTCGGTCGGTTGTCCCCAATGGCCAAGAAGCAGGAACGTGGAGAACATAGCAAATAACAACAAGTCTGTTTTTAAATCTTGTCAGTAGTTACAGCTGGTAGGAGTCGCAGCTGACGCCTCGACGAATTCAAAAACAAATAGGTATTTTTAAAAACTTATTTTTAAATGAACTGCTAGACTGTCTTCAAAATAGAAATCTTGGAGGTTCCTCAAGGAAAAAGCTAGTCCAAAGTTCTCCTTTTTTTCAGGTAAGGCCAAACATCTACCAATCTATCAGATTACTGAAATTCTAACCTATTTTTCAGGATCTCTAGAAAATGAGATCTCACGGCCTCATTGGGGAACTTAGTTTTACTCACTATAATCTAAATAGTAGGACATGAAAATCTTTTGGCTCACGTATATTCTAGAACCACTTATGTGTTTGTAGGATCAAAAACTTGACCTTAGTTAAACACACTTATGTAGCGAGGGACAATGACAAGAATAAAACAAAACAAAATAGGTTTTCCAGCCTAATATTCCAATAAGACAGGAGTTATACCCTGGGGCTAGGAGACCATCATAAATTCTTTTCTGTTAAGTGGTAGTAAATCGTTCCTCGTTTTCCTTTTTTGCCGATCCATAAACATTTGTTTTTAAAAACTTGACTTCTCCACTGCGCCTGAGAGCTGGTGGTGACACGTCATGATACATGGTGATGGACGCATCATGGAGACCACATGAGGCTCCACATGGTAAAGGGAGGTGTGAAGAACTCAGAGGAAGTTCAGGAAGGCTTTAAGAATTGACGCCGAAGCTGCATCCTGACGAAGGATGATGACCCTGGATGGGAACGCAGGAGGGACAATGGATTTGGTGGGAAAGAGGATGAGCCCCATCTCGAATGTGAGACTCAGAGTTGCCTCTGAGGAATTCAGGAGGCCGCGGGGCACTGGGGTCTAGAGAGGGCCAAGCCAGAGATGCCACTTGGGATCCCTGAGCCTGT